TCTTGTGCAGGATTTTGAACAAGCTCCTGGACAGTTACCAGGAGGAGGCGCTGCCCTGGCACGAGAGCATCGAGCCCTGTCTGTCCTCCATGAGCGCCCCCAGCACCGAGCGGGAGGTGAGGGGGCCGGGGGGGCCCTGTCGGGGGTGGGGGGGAGTCCGGGAGCAGGACGCGGGGGCAGGGAGGGACTCCTCGCTCAGCCCCAGTTACGGGCTCGCGGCAGGAATTGCTGGTGAATTGGCTCGTAACAGCCCTGATCTGCGCCAGGCCTGTCCCGGGGAAGCTGGGCCTGTGGCCCCCGGCATCACCCGTTTATTCAGCGCCCCCCGGCCAGGGCTGAGGCCTGTCTCTGTTCTGTCAGACTCCAGCCCGGGCCCCGCAGGAGCTGGGAGCCGCCCTGCCCCAGGGAGCTGCGCTCCCCATAGACCAGGTGGGCGGGGGGTGGATGGCGACTGGCCCAGGGAGAGCAGGGACTCGCCCCAGCCCCCTGGCAGAGGTGGGACTAGAAGCAGGTCTACTGGCTCCCAGGCCGGTGCCCCAACCCCCAGGCCGCACTGCTCCCTCTGCAGGTGGTGCAGGAGTTCGTTCGCTTCCTCCACCGCCTGGCCACCACCAACAAGGACTGCGCCGTGGTGATGTGCCGCCTGGGCACCAAGGAGGCCCTGTCCAAAGCCCTGGACAAGCACAACTCCAACCTGCTGCTGGGGTCGGAGCTGCGGGACCTGGTGACCGACTGTGAGAAATACGCCAGCCTCTATCAGAAGCTGACGACCAGCATCCTGGCCGGCTGCATCCAGGTGAGCCGGGGCACGTGCTCGGTGTGGGGTGTGCGTCCTGACCCCGCCCAGGTGAACAGGGGCTCTGCCATGGGGGACACCTCCCCCCCCCCCCCCCCGCCTGGGGCGGCCTGCCCGATGGGTGGGTGGAACCTCTGCCTGCCGGGGCGCTGATCCGGGTCGAGAGCAGCCGGGGGCCCCAGGCTGCCTCTCAAGGGAGCGGAGGTTGTTTGTCTGTGAGGAGGGGCTGGTGGTCTCTGCAGGGGGTGGCCTGGTGTGAGGGAGGGCGTGACTTTCCCCGGGGTGCAGCCTGGACTGCTGGGTCCCCTTAGCTCTCCCGCCTGGGACGCCTTTTACACAGCTTTGCTGGGAACAGCCACCGGTGCAGGCTCTGCTCACTCCCAGCCCCCAGCGCGCAGTCGCTCCCAGCTGAGTACGTGCTGCTGTGCCCAGCCGTCCATGAATTACATACAGGGCGACACCCGCAGAGCCCCCGCCCCAGCCTTGCCTCTTGCACTGCGCTGAACCCTCCCGGGCAGCGTAAGCTCCTCGCTCGGCATTCCAGCTCTGGAGATCATGCACCAGCCTTTGGTGTCTCAAGCTGAGGTTTCCCAAACACGCCAGTCAAACACAGGGGTTTAGGTAGAGCCATGAGACAAGTCTATTAACCAGAGAAGGGTGGATTTTAAGTGACACAGGTGGGAAGGCAGAACAGTCAGAACTGGTCACAAAAGGAATAAAAGGAGAGAAACACAAGCAAATTCCTAAACTTTACCAGGACTAGTAGGTTTAAAAGCAAAAGGAGGAGTTTTTCTCCCCAGCAACTGCAACACATTTCACAGGCTGGGTCTTTTCCCAGCCTGGGACCACTCCCCCCTTTGTTCAGCTCCTTGTGCGTCATCGTTGTCATGAGCAGAGAGATGGACAGAGGAGAGGGGGGCGAGGGACATTTCCCCCTTTCTTATACTCCTGCCCTTTGTGCTGGAAAAATCCGTGCTGGGTCATGGGGTCGGGCAGTGCTGTTGCGTACCTGAGCTCCAAACTGCCCTCCTGATGAATTGTAACTTCCTTGTTTCCCTCCCCTCCCCGCCAGCTGGTGAATGTCTGATTTAGTACTTAACGGCTCTTTGGTACTTTGCTGGCGTGCTAGGGCGCTTTGTCTCTGAACAATTAGTTTGTGGGCATTACCCAAAACGGCACCTTGTTTCAGTAACAATCATGCAGTAAAATCTCATAGCTTTACACACAGTGTTGTTACACATATCTTAACAGGACAATGATATTCAGCAGTTTATGAATTTTCAAATACTTCACAGGGCGTACTTTGTACAAAATATAACCATATACAAGTGGTGAACATGGGGTACAGGGTGTCACAGAGGTTGGTGGTCTCTGGAAGGGGTGACCAGGGAGTGGTCTGCAGGTGGGGAGAGGGGTTGGTAGTCTCTGGAAGGGTGTGGGCAGGGAGGGGGTGGTGGTGTGTGAAGTGGGGGGAGTGGCCATGGGGCAGAGGCTCTCTCTGGACCCAGTTCACTCAGTTCCCTCCTCCCCACCTGTGCTGCTGCGTTCCTCGGGGGCTGGTTGCTGCCCAGGGTCCAGCGATCGGGCAATGGGGAGGAGGGGGCTGCCAGGTCCCCCCCCATTGACTCTTTGCACCCGCTTCTCTTCCAGATGGTGCTGGGTCAGATTGAGGAGCATAGACGGAGTCACCAGCCCATCAACATCCCCTTCTTCGACGTCTTCCTGCGCAACCTCTGCCAGGGTCAGTGCTGGGGGTGTCGCCCGGGGCCCCCCTGCCCCAGCTGTGCCCCCGCCCAGCTCCCTTCAGCGCTGTCCCCTCTCCCTGCAGGCTCCAGCGTGGAAGTGAAGGAGGACAAGTGCTGGGAGAAGCTGGAGGTTTCCTCGAACTCCCACCGAGCCAACAAGCTGACGGACAGGAACCCCAAGACCTACTGGGAGTCCAACGGCAGCACCGGCTCGCACTACATCAACATCTACATGCACCGCGGCGTGGTGGTCAGGTGGGGCGGGAGCTGTGGGTACTGGCCCCCGGGGGGGGTATGGCTGTGTGTGCCGGGCGGCAAAGAGCATGTCCCGGGACTGCGGGAGGGATCAGGTGGGGGGGGGCTTTGGAGTGAGGTAAGCATTGGGCAAGGGGTAGGATGGCGGGTGGGAGCAGGTGGGCGGAGAGGTGGCTGGCTGCCCAGGGTGTCCCGGGGATGGGGGAGGGATCAGATGGGTGGGGAGGTGGCTGGCTGCCCAGGGTGTCCCGGGGATGGGGGTGC